GTAGGGTAGATAATTAGCATTTAATTTTGCCATTTTTAGACAAGGGTGCATTGCAATGAGTGCCACACCCAGACCCCAATACCGACAAAGCCCAAATTTTACGTGGAACGAGTTGAGATTATAGGTGACCTAAATCCATGAGATGGGTACGGGGGCCCTTACCGTCTAGGAGGAGAAGCGGTAACGGTAGCCGTCCGGCGGAACGATCTGGACGGGACCGAAACCATGTGTACCGCCAGCGCTAACGCTGGTGGTACAATAAAGATAGCATAGCATTCTTTTCTCGGCCTTTACATTTTAATTTATCAAATGTGTTTGAAACTACATTTCTCATAAACAAATCAGGCTCACAGCAATAAAATGAATTAAGTTTTGAATATTCAGTAATTACCAAGCATCAACTATGATTTTGAATAGTAGAGCTGATACATACTTTCACTGCACTAACTGAAGAAACAGCCTTCTCCTTCAACTGTTCAAATAGTTCATCCTGCAAGTAAAAAGAAACATCTACTATGAAATGATGAGTGAAAAATATGATAACAAATTTTTTTTTAAACCTGCACTTATGAGAAATTATTATCTTTCAATTATCAAATAAAAAACTTACCTTCTGACAGAAACACCACTTACTTTTCAAGACTTTCGTCACATTATTTTTCCATAGATATACAATAAAAATTATCTTGGGAAATGCAATTTAATTCTTTAATTAAATTTCGATCAAATTCTGTCAGTAATGACCAAACCTCTGGTGTTTTGTGGTTCTTGTTAAACTGCGACACGGAAAAGGCTCGGATGTAATCCCCCATCTCTTCTCGCGTCTCAATAGCTCTCTTCACCAGCCACTGGAAATATAATATACAGTTGTACAACAGTCGAGTTACTATGACTCCATTTTTTCAATAGGGAAAATAATCAAAATTTCTGATAAATGATTTTGAAATTAATCATCTTTATAAAAGTTTTGTGGTACTTTTGCTGCAAAGAATAATACTTAAGGATAGCCTGCTTTTCAATTTTGTTGCTACCACTCAACAGGAATGTTCTAGTTTTAGAATGCATGGCTTGAAAAAATACAGTATCCTTCGGTAAAATTCATAATTTTCCTCACTGAAAAGATGGGGCCATTATTATATTTTGACATTTTACACAAAAGTGGTGTGCATAGTAACAGAAATCATATGTGGGTGATTTTACAAAAAAAGTGACCATAAATGGCATTTACTAATCTTCAGATTCAAAATAAAATTGTTCACTCTGATTTCAAATTGCTAATAGGTAGTTGGGATCAAAGCACAATTTTGTTTTCACAAACTCTTCACTTTGCAAACAACTCCACCATGTAAACCCACCTACACACATCAATGCAATTTACATGCTCTAAGAGTGCATTCCCAGAGATTTAGATCGATCTATCCGGATCGACCTAACTCCCTGGGGGTTCAGGCTAAATTGCAGTCAGGGGAGTGCGCACAACAGTTAATTACCCCCTTACAGCTTTTAGTAGGCGGGACAGACGCTTAAGTCGACTAAGCTGACAGTAATCTAGTGAGACTCCCTACAGGGATAGAACGACCTAAAATATGTGGGAATGGGGTCAAAGTATGCATATGCACATATGCACACACATACATCTACACAGACATACCTGCACAACTGGGTATATATGTATAAAGTCCAGCCCCTGGATCTGGTGGGGTTCTATTCTGTGAGGGCACTTCATTTTAGGCAACACAGCAACCAGCTTTTCTGTTAGAGCACTGTAACAGTAATCAAGTACTTACAGAAACAAATTTTATAAGAATGTATTTTAGCCTATTTTTAAGTATTTATCTGTGACCAGAAAAATTTTTCAGGATTTTTAAATCATGCCATATATCATTATGGTAAACCATTTGTACGCATGCCTAGATCATCCATCAAAATAAAAACTCAGATATCACCAATTTTTTATGTCTTTAATTTTGGTATTAGCAACAAGAAAATAATTTCATCCAATACATATTCTTATTCATGCTGTACATTTGTCTTTTTCAGGCATTAAAAGATATTTCACATTTTGAATCAACATTTATAAATACACCAATGATATCTGATTAAGTTTAAAGAACAACAACTACAATTTAGCAATACTGTTTTCTATTATATTTAACAATTTATATTTTCTCACATTTTTTGTCCTATTGTAGAGTTCTCTTGGAAGAGCAGATCTACATCAATGTCGAAGTTACATGTAGTTATGCACCAAGTCATGCCACCAACAACCTGGGGAATACAAAAATATCTTAATAGCTAAAAGTGAAAACATAGTACAACAGTGTCCTCTAAAATTAAAAAATAATTTCACTTGACATAGTTATATGCCAAAAACATTGCCACCAACAATGTAAGGAAGATTTTTAACCTTTTGATGGAAAATCATGAAGGACTTTATCCAAATAAAAGATTTTAAAAATACTTTTGACAGGATATATTCGACTTTTTTTAATAATACAACATTATCAAAAAGCAGTTGATGAAGGAAGCGTGCTGATCAATATATGCAATTCATCATATTATTCCAGGTAATATTCCTCCCAATTCCTGCTTATGACTCATTGACTACCAACACAATTAAAGACTGTGAAAAGTCCAGTCTGTTGCAGGATAAAGAGCACAAAAGTGCAATTATTTATCAGACTGTCATCCCCATTCCACCAACAAGATCTTGAGTTGTAAGGAAATGGCAGGATGAAGTGGTTGGGTGGGGTAGGGCTAGCAATTTTTTTCCCTTAGCCAAATCACCACTTTTTTGTCAATTTGTAATCCAAATGGTTTTAATTTGACTAAAATTAGTCAAATCAAACCCTTTTTCTTTAGCCAAATGTCAGTTTTAGCATTTGGCTAAATTGGCGAGTGTAAGCGCTAGCCCAGGTTGGTGACCTTGGCACCTAGGGTCTGGAGGCTGCTGAAGGTCAGGAAACTGCGCGTTTGTTGCGAAAATGGGCGTTTCCCCGTGCAGCATCAGGAGCAGTCAGTCCAGGTTCTTTCATGCCAACAGCAACCTCTTCCGCTGTCAGCCCCTACGGACAAGGAAGGAGTGGGTCGTGTTTTGCGTGTGGATCCTTCGGCCATTGGAGGAGAGATTGTCCCTTCACTAAAGCAGCAGGAAGTGCACCAGGAGTCTCAAAGACCAGTTGTCCATGATTTTGTCAAAGATGAGTATTGTTGTGATGTGGCATATGATAAATCAAAATTTTCTGACGATTATTTTGAATACGAGCAAGGCAATGTAGATATCTGTGTTAAAGGCAGGCTAAAACGTAAATTAGCATTTTGGAAAAGTATTGGCACTTATGAGTTTATTCTTGATGTTTTAGATAATGGATACAAGCTTCCTTTTTTCTCTATACCTGCGCCAGTTCATTTGGATAACAATAGATCTGCTATTTTGCATAGTGCATTTGTTGAGCAGGCAATACAAGATTTGTTGGTCAAGGGCCTTATTAGTGAGTGTTCAGATGCACCTGTTGTAGTTAACCCGCTTACAGTGGCTATTAGCAGTAGCGGTAAAAAGCGTTTAATTTTAGATTTGCGGCATGTTAATAAACATCTTTGNTTTTAGTAAGATTGGCCACTCCTGTGAGTTTAATGACAATTGGCCTATCTGTTTTTCTTATATTGTGTTTACAGTGTTGCATATATGCTGAAAAATGAAAAAATCAGCATAACAACTAAAATAGTGGCCCGATCATGCCGATTTTCGAACTTGTCCTGCATTTTAGTAAGTCTGATTACTCCTGTGAGTTTCATGACAACAGGCCTAACGGTTTTCCTTAAAATGTGTTTACAGGGTTGCATATATGCTGAAAAGTAAAAAAACAGCATAACTTCTACTATAATGGCCCGATCATGCTGATTTTCGAACTTGACCTGCGTTTTATGAATATTCATCAGCTCTGTAAATATAAAAGCAAAAAATAAAACTGTGTTCCACTTATCGTGTTTACAAGGAAAGTGCACGGCATCGGCATCGGCATCACCATCGGCGACGACGGCGACGACAGACGCAGGTGATGGCAATATGTACAGACACATCTGTGTCTGTACATAAAAACTGCAATATAAATCACTGGGACGTGAACTTCAAGCAGTCACTACAGGATATGAATGGAACTAAATTTGAAAATCTGAAAAAAAACTAAAACGGGTCCAAGCATAACACAGAAGTTTGCAATCTCGAAATCTACTGTACCAATTTTTGTATAGTACACTTGAGACCTCGTTTGTTTATTTACCTCGATCTCATTCCCCTCGGCATCATAAACGACGTTCAACTTGGACCCAGCTCTCCCGCGGCCAGTGAAAACACTCCCACCTGTGGAAGCCATGTTCTCCTTGGATAACTCACGTGAGCGGAAGTAGAATAAAAAATGTCAACATCGGAATGAGGCTTCTTTGCGGAAAAACAATAATTTTGTTTTAGCTTTTTGTAAAACAAAAATCTAATGATAAATCATATATTGAATTTCAAAAACTTTTGAATACTTCATTTTTATCCACATGCCTTATATGTTTTGAACAACCTATGTAAACATGATACCTGACCCACATTCTTTCATGTTGACAAGCTCAAGGTGATCTGATCGTGTGACCTAATTTCTGATTGGTTGAAATTTCTGGTGTGAGATTGACATGATGCAGTGAATGGGAAGTAGCATATATACCTTAGTAGCAATAACGAAACAGATTGAAAGAAGGATAGCTAAAGGTAAGTATTGAATTCCGTAAACAATCTGGATTCTAACGGTATATGTGAACCTTATTGAAATGATAAAATAGATTGAAATGAAGAGTGATTTAGAACTGTTTCAACCGGCGCCAGGTGTAATGTTTTGGATTTCATGATTTGAACTTTTGCCGAGGCAGTAAATGGTTCAGAAACAGCAGCAAACTTTTCAGCTGTTCTTTTATAATCAAACTAGTTCGACATCCATAACTTACTTGCAAGCAAATGATATTTGAATGAAATGTATTTTCGAAAAAAGAACAAAAAGGACACAAATGGCACCTTAATTGGCCTGTCTAGCAGTAACTAACGAGTTTTAAAAGGACCAACAGTTACACACCGAGCGTCAGCTGATTTTAGTTTTTGAAGACTCGAGATTGTAATCACTTTGGAAGCTTCTTAAGCATTATGCGGGTCCCGTTGGTGTTCATGGGAGGCATTTGAAGCCACAACACAGACCCCTCATTTCAGAGCGCTTTCTAAAAATTACAAGCTTTTATGTGTTGTTGTGTGCATTTATCTTGCCAAGTTGAGACAAGTAAATATGATACTAGGTAGCAACCCATTTTCTATTTGCAATGTTTTGATATTTGAATATTTCCCTTAAGGCTTATTAAGACTTAAGATTCTAAAAGAAGAGTGAAAGAAGTCACAAATTTCGCCTTGACCTGTGACTGACAGTAACTAATGAACTAAAATGTTATCATACATAGACCACCAGTTGTGTATCGGGTTAACCGATTTCAGATTTCAAAGCTTCCCGACGGTGATTAGTTTAAAAAGCTTACAAGGCAATAATGCGGGATGTATTAGTATTCCACAGACGAATGTTAGCAACTGCAACCCAGAACTGTCATTTAATATTGCTATTTTGTGTGTGTGCTTCTTGCCACATTAAGAAGGGGACATTTTGTTTGTTATGTTTATTTTGGAAAATGTTAAGAATAGACCTTACTAGGGCAATGCATCTGTCAATCCAGTTCCCAGTTAATATTCTGTATATTGCTGCTTTTAATCAAATAAATATTTCCCATCAGAGTAACAGTCAGTGATGAAAATTTTAGAAAAAGAAAAAGAAGGGGGGGGGGGGAACATTCTGAGATATTTTGTCCACTAACAGACAGCCATAACAACAGTGATGAGTACAAGAGGTTGGGGGTGGTAACAACAAAGAAGAAAACTAAATATTTCAGTGGTTAATGGTTAACCGTTGGATGACATGATTCTAGGCTATGTCAACATAGTGTACCAAGTAATGCAGTTTGATCGAATGTTCTAAAATAGGTGCAAGGGTAATCTGAGCTGTTGATTGACTTAACATCGATATGAATCCGAGATAAGTGTCCTAAACTGTTCCTTGTTTTGTATACAGGAGTTACTAGAGGATAGAAACCTCACTAGGCTTGTTCAAGTTGTTTGAATTTGTAGTCTTGTATCTGAAAAATTTGGTCAGGTCAAATTATAATTGAATCAAAATGATGAGATTTGGAAAAGTTGAACATTCATAGGATGATTTTCTTTTCTCTTAGGTCAAACTAATGAGTAAACCCGTTCCACACAAAAAAGGCAAGAACCATTTTAAGATGTTTACTCAGACACGAAGATAAGAAGATTTACAAGTCCCTTCAGTTTCATTTGCTTATTTGACCAAGCACTGCTATGACAAACCACTGTGCTAGACACTTTTTTTATTGCCATGAATGCAAATATGTTAGATGTTCGTGATGAACTGCATCATTTTCCATTATGAAGGCATGTGCATGGAGAATTGCACACTCTGTTTCAAGTATGCAGACTTGGTTACCACAGAGTCATTTTGCCACATTCCTTTGACTTGGTTACCCTGATAGTGAATTGCCTAGTTAATTAATTGCATATTTTGTCTTTAATTTGCTGCTGATAAACACTACATATAGTGTTGGTAGCACGTCTGAGAACTCCTCTGTTCTGTGCTGATGCATATTAAATGAATAATTATTAATCTAGAACAAAGTTCTCTCTGTATTATGCACTGTACTCTCTTTCAATGAAAATAGTCTTATTGTATCATTCAACAACTATTTTATTATTGTTTTTAATTCTCATTGGGAGTATGAGAAAATATACTGCTGGTACATCCTAGTTGTCGAACTAGCATATTAAATTAGTTGATTAAGAAAGGGGCTATCTTATCTTGCCTGGACTTTGCTACTGTGTCTGGACAAGTGTTTACTCTTTGTATCTTTGTCATGTCCTTTATTATTTACACAGGAACACAGCCTGCTTGCTTTTTTTCTCTCAGGAAGGAATAAGAAATTATTTGACTAGATGGACAACTTACTAAGTACTGTCAATGGGGGGGGTCTCTGTCTTTTGTTAGCATTTCCCTATCGCTGGGTTACCACTGGAGTAAACCTGGTGCAAGATAGATCAGATAGAAAGTGATGTAGATATTCAAATTGTAAATCCAGTCCTGTTCAGCCCTTGTCACGTTTTTTGGAGCCACGTGAATGCTGTCTGTTTACTGTCAAGGGTGAGACAGCAGATGTTTGCATAATTTACATTCTTCAGTTGGCAAACATGTGCAACAGCTTGGAATTTCTCCAGTTATTTGCTGTCTTTTTGGGGTGATTCACAGGAATGAATACTTATGCAATAGAATTATACTTTTTTCTCAGGATGTCTCCCCCCCCCCCCTTTTTTTTTTTTTTTAAAACTTTGCTGCAACATTTTATTCTGGAGAAAATGGCCAATCTATAATCTATACACGGATTTGAACTTGGATATGTTTGACATCAACACTTGCCACAAAGTACCCATAAGCTTTCTTGTTTGTTTTTACTTGGTTGCTAGTAGCGAATCTATCTTTTGTTGATCTGTTGTTGTTGATTCTTCTTAAAATGCGCCTTCCACTTCCATGTTTGTGGTTGTATGTACATCATGCTGCCTAAACCACACAGCAAGCTATATCTAGTAAATACCATAACAGACATGCCAAAGTTGTCCTACTGACCATAACCAATAAATATTTCAATATTGCAGTTTGTCTTACAGACTGGCAACAAAATAACTTTCAAACTATTTACATAAACCCATTGTACTAGCTGGATCGATGTCAGACAATTAAGCTGATTACACTGACTGCACTTAAGCAAGACTCCCTGCAGAGGTGGATCGATCCAGCTAGTAGGTAGGGTTTCATCTGAATGCGGTCTAACCGGCAAACTGAATGCCACTGAAAGCATAACTTTCTGCATTGTCAAGAGTTCAAATGAGATGCAATATAAACGAAAGGAAGAAAAAAAAAATGATGAATATTAATATCCTTTCTGTTATAATTTCCAGGCAACCATGTCTACCTCTGCTGCCAGTCTCTTGACCAGAGGCTGTGTGCTGTTTGTGGTGGGTGTTATCTTTGCTTTGGTGCTGAACTTTCTACAAGTCCAGAGACGAATCACAGCATTCCGCGAGGAGTACCTGCTCCTGTCGTCAGCGTGGTGGGTGCCACCTAGTTGTGGCACAGCAGCAGGTAAATTGTGTAATATATTTAGTGGCGCTTGTTTGGTGTTGGGGGAGGGGGAGTTGGAACATTATATGGGTGATGTTATGAAAGTGATGTGACTAAAGCAAGCAAGGGACTTGCCCTTTTTTTTTTTTCTCAAGGAATCATTCTTCTTGGTGACATCCAAAATAAGACTGATATTAAGTTTCAAGAGATGGGTTGTGTTAACTCCTCTCCCTAAAAACATTGCACACATTTGTTGTTGACAGAATGGGGGGGGGGTTAACGAATTGTTTAACATTTAAATTTCTCTCTCTCTCATTAGAAACATTGCTGCCCAAATTGTTACAATCATAACAGTGAACCCCATCGCTCTCTTTCTCTATTCCAGCCATCATAGGTCTCCTGTATCCCTGCCTGGACAAACGTCTGGGAGAGTCCCACAAATACAGACAGGAATGGTCCAGTGTGATGAGGTGTATAGCAGTATTTGTAGGAATAAACCACGCCAGTGCTGTATCCTTACCAATATTGACTCGATAGAATATACTCTAGTCTCTGGTCTTTAAAGTTTTTGCTTTGAAATTGATAAAAAAGTTCAGTCTTAAAAGGAAACCCATGTAAAACTAGTGCTGTATCCTTACCAACATTGACTTGATAGAATATACTCTAGTCTATGGCCATTAAAGTTTTTGCTGTGAAGTTGATATAAAAGCCTGTAAACTGATGTAAGACTTGTATCACAATTGCAGGTTTAAGTTCATGATTTATGGGCATAGGAAATGCCATATGATATAGCATCGAATTGAACCAAGTTTGGGCAGGCTCCAAATTTTTGACTGGGTTATTTTTTTTCAGCCACTTGGCAACAAAGGGGCAGAATGAAGGAAAAAAAGATATGTAAGAATGAGCACAGATAATGTTTCACACTTGGAACTCATTTATAACAGCATCTTTAGTCATGCCTTTATTTTTCTTGACTCGCTATCCTCCAGAAAATAGACTTTGCCAATAACTTCCAGTTGTCTCTTACACTGGCAGCTCTCTCTATAGGCTTGTGGTGGCTATTTGACAGGTCTAGGAGTGGCTTTGGCCTTGGCATCGCAATAGCCGTCCTGGCGACATTTGTGACGCAGTTACTGGTGTATCACGGTGTTTTTAGGTGAGTATTTTCAATAAACATGTCAAGGTTTATTTTGGAAGCGACAGTCTTGCATGGGTCATGTGTGCTGAAGTTTTTGCAAAAAAAAAAAAAATGCAAAGTAAATTCATGAGGAATTATCTCAGTTTTAGTCATTCACGATAAACATGTTGTGACGAGTTTAATTTTTGTGTTATCAAATTTCTTTAAAACTTGAAATTAACATTTACTAGTAGATAGTAGACTTTGGAGATTAAATCGAGTTTCACTAAAATATATCTTTTTACTTACTCTTAATCTGGGGTAGAACGTTATATATCAAGTGTGCAAAATTTATCAGAATGATTTTGCATGACCTAAATTATAGTTATTAAACTAGGATATAGTCACCTCAGTAATGTGTGTGATAAAACCATTTACCGTTTGTGCACAGTCTGTTGATTACAATTAAGGCATGTCATATCACTAAAGCAGAACCAAAGAAACATTTATTTTCATGTAATTGATACATTCAGCCTGGTGCGAAGACATTTTTATGCATTTAATAACAAAATTGCTTCATTTTGACTTTTTACATTCGCACTTTGTACAAATTTCACCCTCCACCCCCCCACCCTCAAATCAATAAATGGACACTTGTACAACTGATAATGTGTTAAGTCTATATTAAAACAAAGATAAATCATCATAGTGTGTGCACTACCTCAGATGTTGAATAATTCATGTTTTTTTATTTCAACTCCTCAGGTATACAGAACCAGATTTCCTCTATGTTAGATCATGGCTACCGAGCATATTTTTCTCAGGGGGAGTCACTATGGGGAACATAGGCAGACAGCTGGCTATTGTGAGTAAAAAAAGACGAAAATGTCTTATTGTCAGATTAGAGTTACTGTTTTGATTAATAATTTCAGAGTGCAGTAGGCACTGCTCAACTTAAAAAATGTGGGAAGTAACACAAAGATTCCACTTTGGTAATGTCCGTTAACTATCACCTAATAGACACACGCACACATGCACGCACACGTTGTTTAAGATAATAATTTGAAATAAAAGGTGAGTTATATGAAGTCAACTGTATATACTAATTCTTGATAATTTTTCCTCTCAGATGCATAAATTTCTAAACGTAATGGTTGTCCATTGTAAAAAGATTCATCTAACATACTGCTAGCATACTGTACTTGACCACATCTAGTATTAAAGTATTGTTATAGAATTAACATTAATTTAAGATGGCTGAATAATAGATCACTGAAAATGGCAGTTTTCCATTTTTTTGGACTAGATTAATATATTTATGAAGTGCAAGTTTCTCTTTTGCAGATTTTGATAATAGCAAGTATGATTCCTTACAAATATCTTTTTTCTTGACAGGATGATGTTGTCGATGATGAAAAAGAGCACCAAGAGTGAGCTTGAATTTTAAAGATGGCTGGCAGACTAATTTTTCGAATGTGCATCATGACGTGTTTCAAATGTGCTAAGTAAAATTGGGACAAGTGTGATAGAAGTCTGATGACTCGTGGACCGAAAAACGGCTCATGGGCCGAAAACAAGAAGTGAAAGGAGAACTCCATGTGGTCCTTCGTGACGTTGACATTGTAAATGTGGGTCAGGGTCAAACTTCAAGGTTAAAACCTGCCCTGTTACAAGACTGTGTATATCCATTGTGTCTACAGGATTTATTTCCGCTGAAACCCAGGGAAAAACAGCCCAACATTGTTATAAAGAATGGAGTTATTTTATTTTTATTGTTTTGTTCTCCAAGTCTTTAGTGTTGAACACATAGGCAGCTCTAGAATGTTAACCACTGTGCATGTTGTGATTTGTGATCTCCTGTCAGTAGTCTGAACTACTGAGTTTGGGCAAGAGATGACAAGAAGGTACCAAAGATTTCAGATCCACTTAGGAAAAAAAGCTGAAATGTTGAGGACAGTCTTATTGCAGGGAACTGCATGCAAAATGAAGCATCAAGTTTTTTAACTCTGCGGAAAGCTTGCATCAAAAAAGCATCAAATAAGATTAAGTTGGGGTAGCAGGAATTTTGATTCGATGCGTCTGTCCTAAATGCCGTATGAAAGAAAGTACCTATTTATTACACATTGTATTAAGTAGATGGGTAAAGGGAATTTTTTCCCCGTTTCTGATACTGCAGTGAATGTTGCTGCTGTGCTGCTTTGAGCATTCACGTCCTAGAAAAAAAACTTTTAAGAAGTATTATGGATGCGAGTGAGAGGTAAATGAGAAGTATAAATTGGTGTCAACAATTTGGGTGGTGCTTCTAAACATATTTGTAATATATTCTATGTGATGAAAGTCACTCTGAACCATGCATTTTCATCTCATTGTAAATATTCTCACCACCATTCAGTTTATTTTCATTCATTTGTTGTTGATATATCTTAAAGGGAAAAAGTTAAGTAGACTTAGAAGAAGTTCATGATTAATAATCAAAAGAGGAATTATGCTCTCTTAAATTTCCTTTACTCTGATTGAACCTTGTTATACCAAAGAATTTGATTACATTACAGAGATTACACAATGGTGTAGAAACTTTATTCTGATTGTTGCTTGATCTTTGATATTAATTTAATTTTTTTCACGTTTGGTTTTGATACTCGTAGCATTGGCTTTTGGGTAGCACAACAGCAGTGTTTTAAGTTGAGAAACTGTATTACTGATAAGATATGTTGAATTATTTTTAGATTTTATGAAACAGGATTTAAATTCAACCTTATTGGTTTCGTAGTATAAGGTTTCCAAGTGTTCACTGTGGAAAAAAGAAAGAATTACTTTGAGGCCTAACTGTAATACAGGTGTCTTGCTGCCTAACTTACAATGCACAATACTGCCTAACTGTGGTATTAACTTTGGTGCTGTGTAACCTACTCGGTGTTGGGAGAATCCATTTTGTGATTAAGGCAGAGATTTTTTATTTTATTTATTTATTTTTCAAACCAGGGGTTGGTGCAACTGATATGTACAAATGTATTATAACAGACATAAATAAATCAAATTATGAAACATCACAGCGTATGACTTGTCTCACCGTCTCAACCTAATAGGGTCCAGCATTGCATTATGCCCAGTAAAGTAGTGAATATGTTGGACCTGTAAGTCGCACTGCAATTTTTTTTTTTTTTTTTTTTTTAAGATATATAAGTCTGTCCATCCACCACTCTTTAGGTACTCCAATATGTCAACAGGTTGCCACCTACCACGAATGTTATATGTTTGTTTTTCTGGTTTAATATATGCCTATGTCAAGTTGATTCGGCAATAAACTATACTAAACTATATACCTAGTTTTAAGAGAAAGTCGTCTCATGGAAGTAGAATTTGCTATTGTACACAAACGTGTAGCATCTCTCCACTTTCCGTCTGAAAATTTAATTCTATTGCCCACAATGGGAAGTTCGTGATCTGCTTTGATTGATTAAATAGCTTGTCAATCAGGAATGCAATCTTACAGTATTTGCTTCATTCAAAGCCGCTAATTCATTCTATAACCATTTTATGACAACACATCAGCAAACATTTTCAAAAACCTGACACAATCTTTGCGGAGAAGGAAAAATGAGAGATAAACTGTATCGAGGACTGCATTCAAGTCATTAAGCTAAATGTTGACGGGAATAGAGCTATTTATAAAATAAGCTGAAGGCGCGATTCCTTTGTCACACAGTCTCGTTGTCGATAAGAATTTGAATAATAGCAATTCGATGTCTAAGTTGCATTTAAAAGTCACGGTTAAAGAATTCCACTGCCTCAACCGAAAACGGTTACCGCTTTAGAAAACAAAAATAATTCAAACAAAAACTATGCGTGATAAGTACCATACCTACTAGTACTTCATTTATACTGTCAGCGGTGATGCAAAAGAACCCATTTCTTAAGCAAAATTGCGACGAACAGGAAAATTGTAGCTATAGAGGACAAATGAAAAAAGACTTGGTTTAATTGGCAGCCATTTAGGTACAGATGGACACCGGTAAGCATCTTATCTGAAGATTTTTAGGCTTTTACATCTTTCCTTTTTACGAAGAATGTCAGTGTGTTATCAATGTGTGAATAAACGTGAACATTCCAAAGGTGATTTTCCCTCCGTTCCATTTTTGTTCACTGTAATCTTGAGCTCGAGTCTCCGGTGTTGAATAACAGATACGCAGATTTTTAAAATTTTAAAAATTTTTCATTCGCAGGATTTTAGACGAAAAGGATAAAAAACGCTCCTAATTTTTACGAAAAGGAACTGTACATGTTAAAATGGAAACTATACAACCTGATGTGACATTAAAAGCGTCAAATACGCCTGGCGTCGAACATTCCAGTGAAAACCCAGATAGATTCCTTGGTCTTATCATCACTGCATTAATTATAATCTTCTTGGTCATTGTCGCTATCATATTGATATTGGCGGGGAAAATGGATCGGAGAAAAAGAAAGCAGAGTGGTCGCCAGGCAGAACAGGCTACAGCAAGGGATATTTCAGTAACACCGCAAAGCATTGGTAACATTTCCAGCATTGCTGCCGTGTCCTCTCCACAACAACCGGAAGTCTATGGCAGCCTTAACCGAGCAGACGACACTTTGCACCAATCACAATCGTCCCTCGGAGACGAAATTGGCAACAGAAAGCCACCAAAGTACGAAAATCCCATCTGGGAGCGGAACGACCAGAAAAATGACAAACGCCCTCGCGCATACTCTGAAGGTCGTCCTTCTAACCGCAACATGCGATCCATTGGACAATATTCCAAAAGGAGTGAAAAGCGAAAAAGAGCCAAAGAGAGCGTGAGCAGTACGGATGTGACGGACGCATCAGAGGGTAATATCTCCTTGCATCCTTTTCACCGGAGTTCTGCATATTTCTACGTTGAACAACAGAAATCCACAAAATTGTAACTGAGCAGTAGTTGGTTCCAATATGTTATTTGTTCGGACTTAGGAGGCCTCGGTAGCGAATACGCAACCACCTGACTCGCAGCTAAGTGCGCTAGCAATTCCTTTAAGTGCATGTACCCTTACAGCCACCTTGGATAGACTTTCTTTCCATAGCAACCAAAGGAATATTCTAAAAGACATAATTAGGAATTTTTTAAGAGAAAGATACATTTTCATTTAAAAGTGTTCTTTCATTTGAAAAACTACCTTTAAAACAACATTAAAAAGTTCTCTTAATCTCTTTAAGTTTTGACTATATATTCTAGGATGTAAGATTCGCCCTCTAGGTGTAGCAAATACAAATTTAATTATTCAATTTGACAAATAAAATATCAACTAAACCACTTGCTTTTTGTGTCAAACTGCCCTTTCAACTGAGTGCTGTCTTCTCGGTGGGATTATCAGCAAGATATTTTTTCTTAATTTCTCCCTCAAGGCGTAGCAATTTTAATTATTTAATTTGAGAATTTTAATATCAACTAAACTACCTGCCTTGCGTGGCCTTGCGTGGCTTCACCCATATTGAAGTTACTTCAGAAAAGACAAGGGCACATTCTTTAATATTATACTTTTAACAAATAGCGAATCTAAGACCTACCTAAAAATAAAAAAGAATAATTAAAAAGAATAACGGTAAAAGAAACCCATTGTGGACTTGCATGATCAACTCCTCAAATAACGCCAAATGCCCAGAATTTTAGATTTTCATCCTTTTCAAAAACTCCTGGATCTACTTGTCTTTATTTTTCTCTTCATAACCATAACGTAAGACAAAAATCACTTTAGTCAAATTTTATTTTTATTCAACAAATGTTCTTCAAATACTAATACATTCATATATAGCAAAATGAAAGAAAAAACGGCCAGGTTCATTAAATGAAGTAAGGAAATTGAACGCTCCATCAACAAGTACGAACCTTGGCTGAAAAGAAGCAACCGGTCGAATCTGTAACCTATAACCTTTGTTTATCACTATATATTAGCATTCAAATTAAAGAGTAACATATAAACTGTAAACCGAAGCGCCCGTATGTAACTATAGTTTCATTTTTTTATCACATGTGATCATCATAACCCATTGCAGTTTCGCTTGTTTTAATAATATTAGCTTTTTTATTTAAACTTATACTCAAACAAAGGAGAAAGCAAGAAATTTGCAGTATCATAACCAGATTGCCACACTTTGGCTGCAATCGTCTCTTCCTTCTCAACGCCAATAACGGACGCTTCATCCAATCGTTGGGGACAATCCGTGCACTTTAACTCAGAGACGCTGATCGGCATGCTTTGGGGCTGGACACCCAGCATTTCAGTTAACATACCCTTAAACGACACCTCATTACCGGGTAATAAGGTGCGGACGAAATTTTTTAATTTGTTCCCCGCAACGAGAGCGACATCTGGGGACTGATTTGATGAAGTTGGACTCGCCTGTACTGCGATTTCGAATTGGTAAGTGTTCAGATCATGCAGGTGGCATTCCGATCGGCGAGGGTGCTTGTACTCACAGGGATCAAGCTCATCAAGATATGTGGTGCCGTTCCGCGTGTCTCCACAAGTAGGGTATTTCGCTCCGTAGATGCATTTCAGCCAGTCTGCCAAGACTTCGGGGAGGACTTTCAATAAAGCTTCCGCCTGGTTGTCAATTTTGCTCACACGAACACTCTTAACCGTGCCTGACCACTCGACTTTAACGTTTGCAAGATTCTGGCACTTCATTTGGATATCTGCGCTGTTGATTCCCCCCTTGCCAGTGTGCCCACAAATACTGACATACTTCTCCCACGGCAGGACATCCTGTGGGGGAACCTCCTGGAAGCTCCTTACATCGATAAAGAGCGGAGTACACAAAAGAAGCATTATCCCAGCCAAAACAAACTTGCCCTTTCTTGTTGCAAACAATGGGTTCTTCCGCAATTGCTTGTTATAATCTGGTAGAAAACTAAGAATTGTTGGAACGAGAATGAGAAATAAAGTTACCATCGCTTTCATCACAGCACCAAAGCTGAACGCTTTCAAAACAAAATAAATTGCACCAAAAATAGCAAAAACGCCAAAAATTGGCAAGAGTGGAAACAGCGCCATAATTAGCGCACCACGGAACAGCCCCTTCCAAGATGAATACATATACAGCAGAACTGCGAGCTGCCACCACAGAAAGGTCACCAAAATTGGAAGAAGCAGACGATATATTCCGCTCCACGACTTGTCTTTGGCAATTTTTATCAAAATGGCGGGGATGGCTACATAGACAACTGAAGGGATGCCAAGATGCAAAATGAAGCCGGGGAACATCTCAAAAGACACAATGGGCGAGGCAAAAAGATTTAAAGCTGGCGTTATCACAGGAATTGTGGGAAATTTTTGAACGATGATTTGCAAAGTTGATGCCACATTGAAAACCATAGCCAAGACACACGTAGCGTAGTTTCCGCCTGTGCGAAAGGCGAAAAGGCAACCCAATGACAGGAAGGCACAAAATTCAGCCATTTCAGAACAAGGGATATAGTTTTTATTTGCCAGCAGGAAGGAAACCACACCCATAAAGAAGGCACCAAAGAAGGCCCAATATGGTGTCAGAGAGTGCCACGTGTATTCCAACTCGACGGTGGAGTCATCTAGCGACGGGTTGTACTGTCCAAGAATCTCTGTCCAGACTTTTACGACACTCCCAATCTTCTTCTTATCATGCATCATTTGAAGCGTGGATATGAACATCGTTAGAAAACACAGCAGGAAGACCAGCAGCGGAAGGATTGCAAAAACTAGATCCGCCGTGATGAGGCTGTACAGGAAGAAAACTGCCAAGAAATAGATTTGGTTGCTAGGGATACAGGAGATGATGAAGGCCCCGCCCTCCTTAGAAGCATACTCCAAGACCTCGTCCAAAGCGATGCTCAGTGATTTCCCGGGGTATTTCAGGATCTGCAATGTAATGGTTATTGTTTTCATAACTATTGCTTAAAATACTGGCCTCCTTATCAGTAAGTTTTATTTCAACTATCAAAAAATGTTATATGGTTTCTTGATAGGATGATAAGAAAGAGTTATTCTTTAATAAGAAATTAAATAACAAGAGCTGGCGTTTATATCAATGGACTTCGGTAGATGCTGGACTGAAACCTTTTATATTCACGTCGCAAATTCATATAACCCTACTTTGATACCTCTTATGTTGATAAACAATTTTAGAAATCTGTATATGACAATGAATATTAATAAAATAAACAGACCGACATGGCTAACTTCCAAACACACAGAATTTCGCAGTTCACCGAAAACTCACAGCATTCTTCAGTAACTATTTAAAATCAGGGTGACATTTAAATATCTATTAACCTTGATATATCGTAGTTCAATTTATTTTTGTATGTGTTCTGACCTTGTCCTTCACGCTGGCGTTCGTGTACTGTTCTGCGTCTACGTCCGAGTCGAACCTCTGATGAAGCGAGTGCAGGGAAGCACTTTGAGTAACTTGTTTAGCTATGGCGTTGACAAAGTCGTCTTCGGTAACGGTGTCTTTCTTTTGGATTTTGTCTAAGTAAACAAAAGCAGTTGATGATGAACAAAAGTATTAGCTGCATAACGAAAAGCATTTTGATGATGAAGACGGATTACCCAGGAGCGAGAGAGAGAGATGCAATATATATATATATATATATATATATATATATATATATATATATATATTTGAAGTTTGAACGCGTGGCCCTACCCGTACGAGAAAGAGTCCAGTAACAACGGTTCGAGATTCTGTATAAATTCATGCAAGGCCAGCATATATGTTACTTTCACATGTCAAAATACATTTAAACAGATTCAGTTGGCGACTTAAGAATATACTTCTAACATTAAAGCTTAGCCTACAGTGCAAATCCAGGACTGCAGCCAGCAATTGCAAAAGGGGAAGGGAGTCTTTTTCTGATAATGTGGTCCTTTTATCATGAAAACTTAGTTTATCTAGATCGAATTTACCCAGAGTGGTCCTTTTCCGAGCAAAAAATGGGGGGTTCTTATGAACCCCCCGAAACGCCTCCCCGGCTACGGGTCTGACACCATTTGCTATTTTTAAAACTTTTTCCAAATCTGTAAGTCCCCGCGCTGTTACCTGTAATTGCAGCAGCAGCCTTCCCCTTTTCGTCAGGAATCAGTTCTTTCATGGCTTGCACAAACTTGGTCTTGGGTATTTGCGTCATATCCAGGCGGGACTGGATGGTCTTAAACAGTCTCTTCGCGGCATGCTTAACGGATTTTTTCGCGTCGCTGTCTTCAAGACAGTGACTTATTTTGGCGATGTTATCTTCCGAAACTCCTACAAGAGAGATATAGGCTTCGTTCACATGGAAAGTCTATTTTCTAAAAATCTATTTTCTATTCGCGGTATCTTATGAACA